ACAAGGGCAATAATAAGAATTGTTTCTGTATCATATTGTATCTCCTGCCTTTGTATTTTCCTTCATTAAGACCGAAAACTTGCGTTACATTTACAGCACGAGATAAAACTACAATTTAGATCTATTCGGCTAACTCAATGTTGTACCCAACTCAACCCCTTTGGGAATAAAACGTTTTGTTTCAGGAATTTCCATATCATTTCAATGTGAATGCCACATTATAATGCAGATACAATACACAAAGAATCTTAACCCCCGGAGATTTGAATTGGGTATACGACATTGAGTTATAATTAGCCGAATAGGTCTCAGAATGATACTTACGTTGTACACACTTTTGCGATAAGTTCTTCTAACCTGTGCTGCATTTTTCTTTCCGTGTGATTTGACAGGTGCCATGGGTGGATCGAAGCAGGAAACTAGAGGAACGTAAGTGTTGAATGCATTCAAACAAACTGTGGATTTTCACTTGGGTTCCACGTGTTACCAGGCCGTCATTAAAATCAGGAACATGGAACATGGAACATGGAACATGGACAATGGACCATTCCGGAACATCCTGGAACACGAAATATCTGGAACATGATAAATTGTAATAATTGGTATAATTATTTTAAAAAAATTACCAGAAATGAGAAATAAAGAGAGTAATAGAATTCAACAAAGTGTTATGTTCTTTTGATTAAATATTTAAAAATTACTCAGATTAATTATTACTCAGAGGCCTTGAGGGCGAGAGAAATAACTGTTTTAGTAAAATCCAACTACCGGTAGTTGGTCAAAAATATCTAGAAACAACGACCTTAGCTAGAAAAACGCGATCCGGCCGCCATTGTTTTGGTTTTCAAAGCCGGCGCTTTTCGCTACTAGTGGGCTATAACATATAGCTTAGTAGTAGCTCAACCAATCAGAAAGCAGCATTGATAATAGACCACTAGTTGGTCGAGACTTTTCCCCAAAAGGACTCGCAAAGTAACTTTTGACAAGAAATTCCCCAAATGGTGAACTAGTTCGCACAAAAGGGTCAAAGATGGGGTTTTTTCTACTTTATGCGAATCAGGTCGAGACTTTTCCCCAAAGAACTCGCAAAAGTAATTTTTCACAAGAAATCCCCCAAATAGTGAACAAGTTCGCACAAAAGGATCAAAGATGGGGTTTTTTCCACCTTATGCGAATCAGGTCGAGACCTTTCCCCAAAGAACTCGCAAAAGTAACTTTTCACAAGAAATCCCCCAAATAGTGAACAAGTTCGCACAAAAGAGTCAAAGATGAGGTTTTTTCTACTTTATGCGAATGAGGTCCAGACTTTTCCCCAAAAGAACTTGCAAAAGTAACTTTTCACTAGAAATCTCCGAAATAGTGAACTACTTCGCACAAAAGGGTCAAAGATGAGGTTTTTTCTACTTTATGCGTATCGGGTCGAGACTTTTCCTCAAAACGACTCGCGAAGGTAACTTTTCACTAGAAATCTCCGAAATAGTGAACTACTTCGCACAAAAGGGTCAAAGAAGGGGTTTTTTCTACTTTATGCGTATCTGGTCGAGACTTATCCCCAAAAGGACTAGCGAAGGCAACTTTTCACTAGAAATCTCCGAAATAGTGAACTAGTTCGCACAAATGAGTCAAAGATGAGGTTTTTTCTACTTTATGTGAATCAGGTCGAGACTTTTCCCCAAAAGGACTCGCAAAAGTAACTTTTCACTAGAAATCTCCGAAATAGTGAACTAGTTCGCACAAAAGAGTCAAAGAAGGGGTTTTTTCTAAAGTTATGCGAATCAGGTCGAGACTTTTCCTCAAAACGACTCGCGAAGGTAACTTTTCACTAGAAATCTCCCAAATGGTGAACTACTTCGCACAAAAGGGTCAAAGAAGGGGTTTTTTCCACTTTATGCGTATCTGGTCGAGACTTATCCCCAAAAGGACTACCGAAGGTAACTTTTCACTAGAAATCTCCGAAATAGTGAACTAGTTCGCACAAAAGGGTCAAAGATGAGGTTTTTTCTACTTTATGCGTATCTGGTCGAGACTTATCCCCAAAAGGACTCGCAAAAGTAACTTTTAACAAGAAATCCCCCAAACTGTGAACTAGTTCGCACAAAAGGGTGAGAGATGGGGTTTTTTCTACTTTATGCGAATCAGGTCGAGACTTTTCCTAAAAACGACTCGGGGAGGATAACTTTTCACTAGAAATCTCCCAAATGGTGAACTAGTTCGCACAAAAGGGTCAAAGAAGGAGTTTTTTCTACTTTATGCGAATCAGGTCGAGACTTTTCCTCAAAACGACTCGCGAAGGTAACTTTTAACAAGAAATCCCCCAAACTGTGAACTAGTTCGCAGAAAAGGGTGAGAGATGGGGTTTTTTCTACTTTATGCGAATCAGCTCGAGACTTTTCCCCAAAAGGACTCGCAAAGGTAAATTCTGACCAGAAATTCCCCAAATAGTGAACTAGTTCGCACAAAAGGGTGAAAGATGGGTTTTTTTGTCACACTTTATGCGTATCAGGTCGAGACTTTTCCCCAAAAGGACTCGCAAAAGTAACTTTTCAGAATAGTGAACTAGTCCGCACAAAAGGGTGAAAGATGTTTTTTTTTTTGTACTTTATGCGTATCAGGTAGAGACTTTTTCCCAAAAGGAGTCGTAAACTTAGGACAAAGGGCTTGCAGGGGTGTAACCTCGTTAGATTGCCATTTTTTGGCACATCAAGAATGGAAACACCAGATCCATGCACACATTTTATTTATGACCCAGTGACGTTCTCTTGGTTTTTTCCACAAATCTATTCCACGCCGCTTGCGAACCAGACTGAGACAAAGCCACGAATGAGCGTGCCGAGACTACTTAGGCATTTGTCTGTGTACGTTTCTGTAAATAACTAGATAAAAAAATTATAGGTAACACATCCACGCATTTGATATTCCTCTACCCTTCCTGACCGAATTGACATTTGGTAATGGCCACGTTGGAGGAGAAAAAATTGGATTACTCAGAGAAAGACCCCTCGGAGCAAGGACGAGAACCCGCAACAAACTCAACCCACATACCGTAAATCCTCTATTAAGCCCCTACCCCCCGGGGCTTAATTCTTTCAAGCTCATTTGAATACAAAGAATACAAAGTGGAGACACTCAAGAACAAGAAGGTGGGAGGCTATGAAGCAGAGGTCCAGAGTTTCAGGAAACATCCCGGATCACTTCAAACGAAGTTTTGCAGTCTTGAATGATTAAGACAGTCTCTCATTTAGTGGCGAAGAATGATTAGGGGAGGGGAGGGGGGCGTATTAACTTTCTTCCCCTCAAAAGGAGGGGCTAATTTGAGGGAGGGGCATATTTAAGGGGGGTTAATAGAGGATTTACGGTAAATAAATGACGTCTCAGCCGAGACTGGATCCCGGGCCACCTTGATTGGACTAGGGGCAGTAAGTCTTTTGCACCAACTGTAAAGCCCTTTTGTTCTACGGTGTATTTACTTGTACACAATCTTAACCAGCGTAAATCTACGTACTCGTAAGCACCTATATTGCAGGCCATTAACAAAGTGCCGACTTAATATAACTTATTCGTCACTATCATAATCAGAGGCAGAGTCGTCGTCAGAGTCCTCGACATCTGCCAAAGGTGTATCCCCGCTGGACACTACGTTGTCATCAAGGAACTGGTGGTAATCAATGACTTGATTGTGGTTTGTAGGAATATCAACTAGCCCCACCCAAAGTGTTTTCAACGCTTGGAGCTTCTTAGTATATTCCGCCCGTCTTAATAGAAGTAAGGATTTTAACCCAAGTTCTAACGGTTCGTCTGCCACTTTCGCGTTTGCGGCCATAGTAGTAACTTCCATCTGTTTTTCAAGAAAAGCTAGGAGACGTAACATTTCAACTTTTATTAGGGAGATCTCCTCTTCACATCTCTCCTTCAGGCAATGTAATTCAATCACCTTCCGTCTTGTTGCATTCGCCACGGCGTGCCCCGAAGGGGTTGAGGTTTGAAAGTTGGAGTACAAATCAGATGACGGGTCCTTTACATCATCGAACGTTAAGGCAGTAACTCCAGGAAGAACATTGTGGCAGGTGATCGTCCTTTTCATGTTCTCGGTAACTTTTGTTATTTGCTTTGACAGTTTAATTGCAATGGCTTGACCATCTACATACAAGATAAAAAGGAGGTTTTATTAGTGACTAATAATAATGAAACAGAAAACATAAGAACAATAAGTTGGGAGAAAGAAGAGGCCATTTTAACAAAACTTGGATTCAGAAATGACACCTACAATACCCAAACCACTCCCAGGGTAAATCTGGAGAGATAATTGACTTCATTAACGTGTATTCTGCACTTCAAAAAAAAAATTCCACTCTCTGTATAGTAGCTTCGTCAAAGAATTCATTTGGCCACGTTCATAACTGCAGAAAAATTGAAGGGACCTTATGTATTTAGCTCCTGCAAAACTGATAAACAATTAGTGTAAGACCGTGAAATAGATCACAAAATAGGTTTAGGTACCAGCGTATTTCCTCTTCATTTCCAATAAAAAAGTTCGTTCCGACGCCAGCTTGTGGAGTTGTAAAATTTGTCGACTTCGATTTTTTTCTTCAAGACGTCGCCTTGCTCCTTGGAAATGTGAATCAGACTCCTTCCAACGCTGTCTTACTCCGTGCTTTCTTTCCATGGTGTCCAATCGTTTCAAATTCCTTGTAAAATAATATGGGTTGATAGCAGTTACGGTTTTGCTAACAGCTACTGCAGTGCACCAAATTATCTCATTTTCTTTTTATTTTACAAAGTTTAAGGACGAATGTGCAAGGATTCATCAATTCAAATTTCAATTGACGTAGTTATAGGTGGCCTTGAAAACTCGTACAGATATACAACTATTGATATAACAAAAATATAAACAAACCGGTCAAGCTTGCGTTGAGTTTCATCAAGTCGATCATCTTCATCTGACTCAGCATAAACAAGGTCATTTCTAAAATAAACATTATTATCAAAATATAGACTAGTTTTATCAACTATACATCACTTACAGAGTGTATCACTTACTGCATAAGATACTAAGAGTTATCATCCAGTTATATTCGACCAGTTTGAAACCCGAGAGTTTCCATTCATACGTTACAATGTTACTCATTGATAAGACAATTTATCCGATCCAAAATCATGTACCCAACATTACAATGGACAATGTGATGTGTGCGTGGGTGCGTGGGGTGTGAGTGTGTGTTGGAGGCCGGGGGAGGGGAGTGTTTGCTGTTGTTGAGGGAGACAAGAAATTAACAGAACCTAGTTACACTTACCGAATGCTTTGCGTTGTGAGTAGCAGCTCCACGTACAGTTCATCCCATTCTTTGGCGAGCACTATATCAATAGTAAAACGGAGAAGTCACTTGAATGTAGATGTCAAGTGAAGCTACAACTACCAAGAACACTGTACTGCAAAAATTTCGTTGAGGACTCTCGCAACTTCAATCACGATTTTTTTTCTTTAGTTTGTGACAATATAGAAGGACAAATAATAATTAGATTTGGAGACTTCAAAGAACTAAGAAGTAATAGAAAAAAGCGCAGATACCAACAAAGTGGGTCGGAAACGAAGCAGTGGCAGTAATGCAACAATCATACCTGTCTCCACAGGATCGATAGCACTCTCTTCCATTTGCTTCCATTGCTGAATAGTTTCATGCTGATAAGGAACTATAATGAAAGTTTGTTTGTTATTTTGGTTGTCCTAGGGCAGCTGGCAAGTGCAATACTTATAAGCAATGCAAACCACGACTGAGGAAAAGAAGAAAAAGGAAGGGCAAAAAGGAAAACAGAACAGAACATGAGAAAGGGGAAATTCGTAGACTGGATAAAAAGACTGCCAAAAGGAAGAGGGGACCTTCAGACGGAGCCAGCTAACCAATGAACTTCACCAGGGAATCGGACCCTGCCTCCCAACCAAAACCTAAATACTAATTAATAAGATATGAAAGTATGGTACACTAAGAGATTGCTTTAAAAGTTAAAATCAAAAGACAGCAATACCTGGCAAACCTTTAAAAATCTCCTCAAGCTCTTTGGAAGACTTTCTCAACAATTCTTTTGCCTTCAAGTGTTTCGCTTTCAAAACAGGACCTTATGAAACATTATGTATAAATCTTAAAGGTGTATCAAAAAAAGACAAACACATTGCAAAAAAGGCTCATCATGTTATCAACCAAATTCATTTTAAATACATCTGTACAATGCCTTCATGTTTTTAAACAGGTACATGTGTATGTAGTCTATGAATAAAGATGAAAAATCTGAACAGGAAGAGATACAATAATATTATAATTGGTACATTAAAGTGTAAGTTATTGGATTATCTAAATTAATGTTAAATATGTCCAATTTGTCACTTGCATGTATGCTACAGCTGTAATTAGACGGAACAGTAACTGAAATATGTATTCCCTTTACAGGAAAAAGAAGAGAAAAATTTATGATAAAAACTGCTTTAGAAAGTCATTCTAAAACAGACCTAGCTTTTTGACAATTCGCTTGCCATAAAGTAAAAGACCATCTGTCAAGGTGTCAATTCTCTTTTCTGGAGTCATCTCTTTAGTTATTGCCGAGAAGCCGCGAAGGAACGACCACAGTCTCTCTGTCCCTTCACCATCAGTTAGGCCAACACCTGTTGTCCTGCGTGGACTAAACTGAACCTGTAAATTAAATGGGTCCAAGCATGAACGTTTTCATTACACAAATGCATAACAGTGCCTCAATTGATAAAATATAAAACCGATATGGATGTTAACGTGGGATAGCAGGATAATGCTACCTACATGTAGCTCATTGGTGCAAGAAGAACGTAATGTTCCAATGTCGCTGCATATATACTTACAGGTCTGTGCCATTAGTGTTCTAAGTTTTCTTTATGTAAAATATAATTTAAGCCTCAAAATAATAACTGCTACGTGTTATAATGGAAAAATTTAATACAAAACCCCCTGCCAGTGCTATGCCAAAAACAAGTGAATTCTTTTAATTCGGAAGCTGGTGCCTTAAACGACCAGTTTCACTGTTAATTTTTTTCCACACTTTCATACCTGACACGAAGCCTTATGCCCATAACAGTGGAATATAGGGATGGCTAGTGGGATTTGTACCAGAGTTGAGTGTTTGGGATTATTCTAAGATCAAAAACAATAAAAGAGAATAAAATAAAATAAGCTAAAATATAAACATCAAAATGTGAAGACAAATATATAAAGTGTATGTCTATAATATTTTGGTACACCAACAGAGATGAACATTGTACAACAAAGCAAGACAATATAGTGGTACCTTAAGATGTTTGGACAAAATGCATGCAACATCATACATCACAATGAGTTGCACATTTTCCTTTTTCATTTCTTGAAGCCTTTGAATTTCATATACTGAATAGGAAATTCTAATAAACATAAAGGAGAGCATGAAAAAAATTATTGTCAAGGAGACACAGGTACATACATATCAATAAATCCATGTCTATTAAATTGGCTATTAAAATTTGTCTTTATATGTAAAACTGTACAGCCTGCAAAGGGGCCAAAGCACATGTGCAAAGGAAAGTGCATGGAGTAACTCAAGTGATATTTTAAGGTCACGTACTTACACTGGATTTGCTATATTCATTTCCTTACCGCTCGCCATATTTGATGCTAATAAATCCTTTTGGGAAGTCATGACGACAAACCCTTCCAAATACCCCTTTTTCATCAAACAGCTTGTTCTTTCCTTTTGATCTTATGTTTGAGAGGACCTCTCCTGCATGGAAATGATTGCAATTCTAAAAACCAAAAAGAATTTACAAGAGAGGTAGAGAAATTAAATGCACGGTAAATTAAAGTGATTTTTAAACTATGAAACTGGTAAAAAACAGCTGTCTTAGTAGTGCACCAACCAAAGCAAATTCCAAAGTGCTTCAAAAAGTTAAACAACATTAAGGAATAAAAACCTGCCAGTTCAACATATAGCAAGCTTTAATATTTTTAACTACTGAGGGTGAGGCATTCCACAATTTGGAACATAACATTTTGGCTACTGCCAAGAAAAACTGACTAAATATCACAAACTGATTCAGATGTTGAATATTATTAATTAATGCTGCTGATGGAGCTACATATACAGAACACAAAGAATTTTGGGTAACTGGGTGGCATCATTGTTACAATGTATCTCACACATGCGTGGCACTTTGAAGGCAAATCACAATAACTGCTATACATTTAATTTTTCTATTCTAGCTAACTGGGACCCAAAGCAAAAAAAGAACAGTGTACATCATAACAAGATTTACACATAAGTAAACATCACCCAAGGACATACATGCTCGGATACACTCATCTCCTTGTAATGATCAACAAAGTTGTCCACATCATCTTGATCCCCAAAGAATAGGTCCTTGTGCTTTGGAGCAGAAAGACCGCTACCTTGGGACTTCTTCCGAGAGAGTCCAAAACAAGCATCCATACACTCTATGAGTACTCCATCATCCTTAAAAAAAAGGAGATGTGAAAGCAGAGTTTACAATAAAGTATACACTGTAGCAGGTATGAGTGAGTATCAGCAAGACACACAGGCTGGAAAAGTCCTAAAGCAAAGCTGAGCTGACAGCATGATACAGTGTTCACTTCATATGAATGACATTATGTGCATAAACTGGAAACTGAATTTTGTGACAAAACCATCCATGTTCATGATACATGCATCTTTATCACAAATTACTCAGATTGTTAATCTAGCATTTACCTTTGGACATATTGGGCACTTTGAGCCATCGTCTATTCCAGGGCATATTTTATGTAAGTGATTTAGCTGATACTTATAATACCTGAAAGACAAGTTAAAACCTCTAAAATAAATATAAAATATAATATCTACATAAAGATAGATTCTGTTTGTCACAGTTACACTGTACCTGTACTCTTCAAAACAGCCAGAATTTAAAATGGAGTAGACAGAGTAAACCTACAAAAAAAAAATCAATGACACTATTAATAATAATATATTAATGTGCATTTAGGGCAATTAATACAATGTATCTACTGTACATAAACATATTCATTTGTGCTTCACAGTTAATTGCCAAAATCTAATAAAAAAAATGTAGATGTTGGTGCAGCATTGTACTCTCTACTTTTCAGTCAATTTGGAAGTGCTCAAAAGTTACTGATTTCTTGCTTGTGACTTTTCATTTAGTAGACAAATATGGATCTGAACTTTTTTTGTTAGCTGTTTCACTTACTTTTGAAGTAACAACATATGCATAAAAATGTCCACTTTCTAAAAGGCTTTCATAGTTTTATTGTTGTTAGAGACAAAAGGATTCTTCTGTTCTTGATGCATGAAAAGGAGATGCTACTAGCAATGCATACAGTGTAGGGCAGGACTGATTACTGGGTGGTATGAGCACTGCATAACACTCATTTCATCTTAAATAAAACCTAAATTACCTACACCACCCTGGTCCTTTTAATAATTATTAAGTTAATTTAAAAATTAGGGACTGACATCGGCATTTAAATGTCAAAAGAAGTATCTTAAACTTGATACAGTGACTTATAGGATAGGTAAACATGCAATGATTAAAGGTGATAAAGGAAGGGTGTAGTATAGAAAAAACTAGGTGATCCTGTGACCAGCCTAGCCACAGCATTCTTGTTGGAGTTTCATGATGTGCAATTTCGAAAGAGCATACAATACACTTCTGACTGTGTGTACTGTAAGTGTGTTAGTAAGTAATTAATAAGTTAAAAAATTGTGTTGTGACAAAAGTAATGAATACCTTTTCCAGTTTGGTTTTTCTTATTTGCAAAAATTTGGAGGTTTTTAAATTTTTGTCCTTTCATCAGTGTGGATGACCACTAATGAAAGGATGTCTGAGAACATGTATAATACTGCAGAGTTACATAGGAGGTAAAATAATTGACAATCTAGGTTTCCTGCTTTACTATGACACAAACATGTGCATATACAAAGGTATTCATTCATGTAATACCGTAAATCCTCTATTGAGGCCCCCTCTCCAATAACCCCTCCCACTGGCGGGGGGCTTAATAGAGGATTTGGGGTATTTACCTTGACAAAAGACAAAACATACTGTTATACAGTAATCAATAATGCTCTTACAATTCTGGGATGTAGAGGTGGCATTTTTGCTTCAAGGACATCTGTAAAGTCCTTGAGAGGCACCTTGCAATGAAGGAACATGTCATTAGCCATGTCCATCAGCCTAAAATGGAAGGCAGTAGTTGGCCTGTCTGGTGAACCAGGCCATAGGTGCAGTCGCACTAAGGTAACAATGGGAGGCTCACACTGACAGAACAAAATTCTCTTCGAATGATGGTTGCCTATCAGTGAAAATTAAAGTTTGACTTGTGAGAAGGTCATATTTAAATATACAATTATTGTTCCCCACAATTAACTTTTACACTTGGGTAAAAATTAGAGGAAACTTAGACTTCTATATTTATTGGTACAAAGCCCAGTTTTGGTGTTCTATTTCGTACAAGGAAAATTCAGAGTAGAAAACATTGTGAAAGTTATGGCCCCATGTAACACGTAAATAGTAATTTGTACATAAATTTCTGTGTTACTTCAGTTTTATCTTTGTGGGTTTAACCAAATGATGAACAATGAAATGTCTAATAAAAAATAGAACAGAGTAAAAAGGTGATAGATAGACCATTGCACACTAGGGTCATTAAGGAAAAATTATGACCCGAAAAAAGGAAAGAATGAAATAGAATCTTATAACAAGTAGTGGCCAGCAGTAATAAGACAGTTAGTAGCTCGAATAACTATCCCTACAAGTCAACATTTGCACTTGCTTCCCTCTTTGTAATGAGCTTTACTCAGTCTACAACTGACATAACCACTCTGGACAGTACAGCACATTTAGCAACAATACCCACATAATAGCTAATGGTACTAACATATCTCATTATCATGATTACTACTCATTTATATGGTCTAATACTGGGTTACCTCTATCTCACCTCATGTTTTCTAATCATTGCAATAAACAACTTGCATGATAAAAATTTTTTTTCGAAACTACAACATATACCTAAACACAGTGGTTGAGGTGGCACAAGAGACTCCCAACATAGTGCACCTTCCTCATAACTGTAACTTACCATTAAAGGGACAGGTTCACAGCTTGGCACATGTGCATTGAACAAATTACTTTTTTTCTGCATTATTATGATTGTATCAGTTAACAATCCCACTGAGATGTATATCAGCGATCACATACTATAGTAAACCCAAGTAGAATGCAGAGAGCTACGGTAAATTTGCAGGAAATGTTAGTGGATTGTACCAGCACCACCAACATTGAATTTACTTTACATCCAAAGGTTTTATTCCATAGTTGATAAATTTACAGCTATTTGCACATGCTTGCATTACATGTGAAACTTTAACAAGAAAATTTCACACCCAAGCAATCCACCCACAGTTCCGATAGGTTCTTTGACAACTTTATTATGACATAATATTGCTGGCAGACATGCTACAGCATGTACGGACAGAAAAACAGCATTTTGATTCAAGAGCATGCACAGAACAATGAACCCTTCCCTTTAAGTAATAATATTATTGCATCGAAAAATTTCTCTGAGAGGTTTTTCATTTAAAATTATGTCCCTGTGAACAATACAGGAAGTACAGAAAACACAGTATGAAGTATGTGAATAAATGAACCAACGCGTGTGCAAAATAACATCTCTCAAATGTCTCAATAGCAAAGAGTAAAATATTCACATGTTTAACCATGACATACCAAATTCATCTATGCAGTTAATGATGTGAATTTCCCCAGAGGCACACTGGTGACCTTGGTTCAAAATGCCATGATTTGGGAAAATTGGCACAAATATTCCATCCTGTTCATGAAATGCAAAAAAGTATATAGAGTTACTCTAATTTACGTTCTTTAAAAAGCCAAACTCCTTTCTTTTTGGAAAGTCAAGACTACAGAAAGCTTATCCTCCTTTCATGAAATAAACCCTCCTTTGGGTGCACAGTCACCAGGAATAATTAAAACTCCACAATTTTGGTGAAGAAATTTTTCTGTACCAGGACCGACTGAAATCTATATCGAAATCAAAACTGAGCAATATATAGCTTCCACATGGCATAATTATGTGCTCACTAACAAACCACTGGTGTTAAGTTCAACAACTGTACCTTCCACAACTCCAAAACATGGTAATTGTTGATATTCACGTGAAGCTTTTTCGCGCACTCCAAACATAACAGAGTTTTGGGGCCGCAATATCTGCATCTCACTGCAGCAGCAGATGTCTGACACCAAACGCAGGCTGTCTTTGGAAGAAATGAGTCCTCGAACGTTACGGAAACAAGTCTATCACGCAATTCCTCCCATTTCAGTTGCTCCTGAATGCGGCGATTTTCATGAGCGGTCACAGAGTGACGCTGAAAATCGTCAGGTCCATCCAAATCTGGCACAGCTACAGTACACTCATTCACCGTTAATGAGGCGCTGCAAGAAGGTTCCATCGAGGCACCTGCACTGAGGCTGTTGATCGCTTCCTCATTTTTTGCCTGGTTCAAGGACAGAGAAATATCCTGTCTTCTCGACCCTCTTCGATCAATAAATGTCGCTTTAAATGATCCGCGCTTAATGCGTTTCATAATACTGCAAGAATTGCGTAGAATGGCGTGCCAAAATAAAATCAAAACAAGTTCGTACTGTCACGTAATTGAACAATTTTCATGCAACTACGACGGAAACTTGGATAAGATAAGAAAGAAGAAAAAGAAGGGAAATGAGTAAATCTTTTTTGTTACTGCAAGTTCCTCGTAAGGGAGTAAACTACAAGGTGGCACGCAGGTGAAAGTCGGTCAATCATAGAACAACTCACTCCGCCATGATGATCGTCTTTCGCCTCATTCTAATCTAAACGATGATTGGTCAGAATAAGGATAATAGGAGCCTTTGTCATGTTAGCTGGCACGGATGATCATCTTACCTGGCTATCACCCGTAATTCTAAATTTAGAAAATATGGGTTTGACCCATTTAGAATCCGAGATACGGGTGGTGAAAGAGATTAAGGGATGAAAAGGAAGGAAAAAGGTACCTCTTCTACCTCTCACCTTGAGCACCCGCCATGTTAAAAGGCGAACTGGATATCAGGTCTTCAAATACCGCTATCGAGATTTTAAATTGGATTGGATCTGAAGTAAAAACCTTGGATCCGGCGTAATAACTTTGGATCCTGAATAATAAGTTTGGATCTGGAGTAATAACTTTTGATCCGCAAAAATAACTTTGGATACGCAGTGACAACTTCCACGGTAATAACCTTCGAATCTGAGTAAAGAAATTGGATCCGGGCTATTAACTTTGGATCCATAGCAAGAACTTTGGATCCCAGGAATAAAACGTTGGATCCAATTGAATAAAATTATGGAGTCGGGGAGCTATGCCGGATAATGAAATCCATGTTGGTTGGATAAAAAACTTTGGATCCAGACTATCACTCTTTTTTATGGCACTTGTTTTCAACTAGTCTCTCTCCACTGTTCCATTAAAAACGGTATCTCGTGTCTGGTTTTATTGAGAGCGTTTACTAGTCGTGTGTTTCAATTGATCATTCCTATATATTTTTTTATTTTTTTGTGTTTTTCTAATAGTAAGTCAAGGGGCTTTCACTGTAGAGCCAATTGCTATTGAAATGTGGGCTTGTTAACTCGTATAATTTATTGACTAACGCCGCGTAAAGAAGTATACTCACAGGATAAAGATGTCTCGTGTACAGCTGTACTTTATTGTTAAAAAACTAAGCAGTTGTTGCAAGGGATAACTCGAAGAGTTTCGCAGGCACGTACAGGAAACAAAGCGCTTAAAATGGCGTTTTTTGCTGTCTTTTCGAGCAGCCGTGGCAGCGATTCAGCATAACTTGTTGAATGAGTTTGTCAATCAAAGCCGTATAAGTAAGGTGGAACACACGTCTGATCTGGCTATCCTTTGACGCTGGACTTTTTCTCCTTCATTAATCGTCAACAAAGGTGTAGCGCTCGATTCGACTTGCATGTTTAAAAAATTCTGGTGATAGTAAGACTTTTTTTCTAGCAGACTGAACTTGCAAGAATAAAATACTGAACGGAGAGCGCGCCTTATTTCGAACACAAAATAGATTCTACATCAACCAATCAGGTTTAAAAGAGACCGGGCAAGTCTAGGCGTGTCTATTGTTCCTATTGTATAAGAGAGACGATCATTAGATATGGAGGAAGGCACTTATAATTTTTAAGTATGGAGGAACGCACTTTTTTCCTAGGTTATAACAGTGGATGACGTCATGGACTGGACTCTTGTGCATATTAATAAAAGGAAAAGCACACGGAACGCAAAGGGAACGAACCAACAAGGCATTAAAACAGCATACAGTGAAACCTGCATTAAGCCGACACCGTATTAAGCAGACACCCTCTATTAAGCGGACAGTAGCCGAAGTCCCAAAATTTATTTCTCTTATTTGCTTTAAATGAAACCTTTATTAAGCGGACACCTCTATTAAGCGGACGCGGACACCTACAAAGTACCTGAAATGGTCAACTCTATTGTTGCCAACCTGTATTAAACGGACACTTGTAATCAAATGCCACCACCCAACATGCTAGACACCGGAAATGCGAAGATTGCCTCGAACTGCCACCCACACATTTTTCTATTTTTACATTAAAAATTGTGACTTGACGAACATATTTGATTAGTTTCACAGTACAGTATTGTTTTATATTTCATTTTGTTTGTATAGAGCTTGTTTCACTCATCTGATTTCCTCAAATTTGAGTTGCAATCTATGTTTATGGTATTATGATCAACTGGTCCACTTTGATTAAGAAATTAATGCAAACGTATATCTTCTAAATCTCAGGGAGTATTCTTGACCTTTCCACTGATCATTTAAATGGCATTTGACACCTCATATGACGTTATCTATCGAAACCTGTATTAGGCGGACACCCTGTATTAAGCGGACACTACAGCATTCCCCGAGGGTGTCCGCTTAATACAGGTTTCACTGTAGCACACTACTGCTGTTTCCAGTTTTAATCCTACATGTAAGTACAAAGCGGCCTACCTCACATTTATCCGAGCTTTTGTCAATCGATAGTAAAGCTGTCTCTTGATCTGATTCGGCTAAAAGAAAGAAATCACCGTTAAATAACATATCTAGTGTAAATGTACAAGCATTCACCTGTTTCACTCGCTGACCTGATTTTAAAATATTGAAGGCTGTGTTTGAAAGGAAATAATTATGAGAATCCAAAGAATTCGGCCGACAGCAATTATACATTGAAAACAAAACATTATTAATGTTTCTTTGCAGTGAATTTTTATCGTACGTCAAATTATTTCTCATTCACTGTCAATTCATTGCAGATAATTTCAGAAAAGAAATAACAAGCTTGGGAGATTTTCTATTGTTCTCATATTTAAGACATCTCCCCTCATTGCAATAATTGAACTCTGTCTCTTTTGATCTAAGATAGCTGCTGTAGAAATGCATCAAAGGTCATAACAAAAAAACAGCATTTTCTATCAGGGTTTTTAAGTAGAAAAGGTAACCTGTAAATTGTGGCCTTCTGTGAGCAAATTGTACTTTCAGGTCACTGATTTCAGCTTTCAATTGTTTGACTTAAATTGCAGTCAATTTCTTATAAAGAGCTTTCAGGCTTACACGATTTTTCCATTAGAATCTCCTTACAAATCCGGTAGTTTTCTTCTTCAATAGTTGTCTTCAACCTGACATTCTCCAAGTTCAGCTTCTTCTTTACGTCATCCGTCACAAGGTATCTCTCAGCAATATTATTAAGGTGACCAGACTGATAATCACTCTACAAACTTTCAAGACTCTCCAGGGAGGGGCACCGGAACGTTATTTCGAGAGATCCGACGCCTACAGATTTCAAGGCCAAGTTGTACGCATCCTGTATATGTTCTATCAGAGCAGACACTCCATCGGCTGTTGAAACCCTACGATATTTAGTGTAAACTTGTATCTGTCTTATTAGAGTTTCATGGATTATTTCTTCCTGTTCATCACTCAGGTTCTGGTAACAGTGCCTGGTAACAATGTCTGAAAATAAAAGATAGCAACACGGGGAAGGTACGTATACTTCTTGCAATATTTTATTTTCTTGTCATAAAAACACCCATTAAACGCTGCACTGATTCGGGTAACATAACAGTAGGTTAGTTTCAATCACTCAAATCAATTTTTTCACTGCTTAAAATTAAACGGTAAATCCTCCTCAGTGTAGGAATAGGTAACTCCAGTCTGTAACTTGAAAAAACACCCCACTCTTCGCTCATGCACTACAAGACAGAAGCAGGAGAAAACAGAATTGTCAAAATTAATATTATGTTTACATAATTGTATACCTGGATAAGAGGAAGGTCCTGAAATTTTACGCTTACGCCCACTTTGAGACTGAGATATTTCAGTTTGACCTCCTGCAACAAAAGAAGCTTTCTTTTCAGCACTTTTACCAAGAGAACTTTTTTCAACAAGCAGCTCTTTGATTCTTCGTTTGTTGCCGTTTTCGGATGACCCTGTTGATTGGTTACAACAACACTTATATTTCGAGGGTACCAAGTTGAAAGTTCCTTTTCGCTGAAGAGCGCAGTTGAATATTTTCATAGAAACTGAGCGGTACAAATTTCTATCGATAATAATAATAACAATAATAATAATAATAATAATAATAATAATAATAATAAGAGACAGTTACGGGTTGTTCTAAAGAAAGTTAAAATTCACCAGGTGTGCTGGAATGGCAAGTGCTCTAGGATTCGCGCTGGACAGTGAACTGCCTACTTTGTAAGTATTTCATGAACTATACTTTTCATAATAGAACATTCACGCATGATACTTATATTAACTTGCAGACAATTAGTACCTCGAATGGTCAAAGAAATAATAAGCTTTTTAGTCCCCTGCACCAAAGACTCAAAAATTATATTTATTTGTTATAACTTTATGCTGTAAAAGTACTATTAATGTTTACTATGAATGAATAAATGACACAAGATTTCAAAACGGTGCATAATTACAGACTGTAGTGCCCCTTATAATCACACATGTGAAAAACTAAATAACCACAACAGTGCTAAAACACTAAAATACAAAATTAATTTGTCAGAGCTTGTGAGCAGAAAAACAAGTACATCTGAAATACTTCAGGAAATCGATTGTGTAGTGACCAATCACAATAATTATTGTTCATAATCTTGTACCCAGACTTTTTTGTTGACAAGAGATCTGGATACGCAATTAAATTGTTCAAGAAACACAAGCAAATGTCAAACCCACAAACTAGTTTTTAATTTTCTCAACCTAATTGGCTGTTTCCTTGCAACAGTCTATGGCATTCAGTAAATATTTTTCTTGTTTATAGTTTTATGAGTTTCACAGCAACATCTTACCGTTGACCTTTTTCCACATTCTCTTCACAAACTCTTTGCATTGTTCCTTCCAACTGTAGATCTCTCCATAAGATGCTTTAAGTGTCTTAATCTCTTCAAGGCGCATTCGATGCCTGACATGAACAGCTTCAATTGCTTCTGCCCATTTTGCAGGATCATCAAAAAAGACGATGCATGAATAACCATTAGGAACATTCTCTAATGCTTCGGCAATTCCCGACTTACTACCAACAAGAATAGGTAGGCCTGCAGACAAGGCTTCAAGTGCAACAAGACCAAATCCCTCGGATTTTGATGGCATGATGGCAAGGTCAGCTTCACAGAGCAAATCTTTCAGTTTGTCTCTATTTTGTATAAATTTTCGAACAGTCAACTGTGCCTCCGCAATACCACGCTGAAGAAATTTTCCTCTAACTTCTTCTTGCTTTCCTTCAGGTGCTCCCACAAAGATTAGATGATAAGGTTTGTTTTTTAACCGTTGATCAGTAAATGCTTGAGCAGCAATGTTGTACCCTTTGAGTTCAAAGTCCTCATCATCCCCACGACCAAATAACAACACTTTGAATTCGCTGTTCTCGTTAGGGTCTTGTTTTGCAACTAAATCCCCAAACTCCCTTTGAAAAAGGCCTGGAGTAATAGACAAGACGTCTTGATCAGCTGTCTTGCATCGCTGTAAATATGAAGTGTAGGCTTCTTTCAGTCTGGGCCCAACAGGTACAACAAGATCAGCAAGTTTGCAAAGTTCAACTTCTGATTCGTGTTTTGTTTCACCTTTCGAAATAGGGTCAGTGTAGCATTTGTACTTGCTAAGGTCCTCTGGAGCAGTGTGAACCACTTGCACCCACCTACAATTTGGAAATCGAGCAGAGTCTCTTATGACCTGTATTTGCCGACCAAGTTTTACACCATGGCCAACAACAATGTTCATGAGGTGCTCATGGGGTGGAAAGCTTAACCAATCAAGACGATCAAATGCTGCAAGTCTCTTTGCCTCAACAATAGTGATTCCATAGGTATGGGCTTCATTTTTTTCCTCATTATTGCAAGCCCCCTCTGGGACTAGTAAAGAAACCTTCACTGCTGACTGCTGTGAAAGGTGAATAGCAAGCTCTCTGTTTATGGTTGACAACCCACCAGCAGATGAACCCCACTCACCACCAAGAAGAGTGACATGTAAAACTGGATCACTGGTCTCAGAATAGCAAGCCTACAAAAACAATGGCAATAAAAGTGAAAAGTAAGGAGATACAAGACCAACAAACATAGCAGGTTTGGGAACTGTCAGCTGTTAGTAAATGTATATATAATTTGTAAACTAAGTTAATAGGGATAGAATAGCCAAATTTTCACTATTTCTCACCACAGTAAAACATATTACAGTGTCTTTAGAAACAAACCCCTTCTATCAAATAGGAATTAATCAGGCATATCAACAAAATTCTCAAATTTTATTATTTATCAAACAAACAAATTCCCCAAATGTAATGTCCACCCCATTCCTGATTTTCACCACAGCCATGCACCCAAAGGGCATGATCACGCCATCGCATGTAGTTTTCTGTTTTCTTGATGAAAGCAGTTTTTACAAAGCATCTGACAACTTCAAATGCTTGCTTTGGGAAACACTACCAAATAATCATAAAGTTCTCTTCAAAGGCCTTGAAATGACACTGTACATGGTGTAATACGAATAAAATATAGCTATTTGTAAAAAGAATTCAGAAAAAAGAATGAACCTTTGGATTGTCCAGACTGCATTCTGCTTTCATAGTCTCAGGTTGACTGGATGAGGCAGCCATGGCTGATGAAGGGAAAAATAAGAAATTTAAAATGACTTTCCTAGTATAGTAAAAATAAGTCTTAATACTTGATGTAAGCATGACTTTCATCACAAAGTCAACCATTTTTTTTAATTCTAAGCATTGCCGGTCACACATTATCAGATATGTGAATCTCTGCTGTCAGTGCTGTAATTAAGCAGAGGTCGTTTTATCTTTAAAAAATAAAGTATAATAATTATCAACACATAATAGTCATCATGTTCATTATTTGTAAAGCACATTTTCTATGCCAACACCCAAATGTGCTTCAAAATTGACAAAGCTAATTAAATATAATCTAGGGTCGTCCTTAACTCCTGCATTATATGATCCTTCTCTTAGACAAAAACTTCCATCATAATGGAAGCTGATTGAAAAATGTCATTTATTTAACACAATAAATCATCAAAACGTAAGATTGCATCCCAGTTTCTTTCTGCCTTAAATAACAGGTACAGGTACATTTGTATACAGCAAATGAAATTAAGGAAATATGATAACTCTAGATTAGTCTTTTAATAAAAATAATCAAAGCAATCAAACAGGTCAGGATTTTCAGATGTTTTATTCTCTTGGAATTACCAAGTAAAACAGACCTCTTTTTAAAGAGAGGGGCAGAGAGGGGAGGAGAAATGGAGAGGGGGAGGGAGTAGGGGGAAGAAAACTTAGGCCATTTAAACCCCCTATGGTTGTTCTCATGTATTTTCCGAGTGTGTGATTATGCAATAATAAAGTTAAGTTAAGTTAAACTCTTTGCCAAAAAAAACAACAACAACAGCAACAAGAAAAACCAAGGTAATTAGTTGTAGTAAAGACATCAATACTCCATACTTTAAGTGCTTTACATCTTGTAATAAAACTATGTAGTTCTAATTCCCTCAGATTTTCTTATTAATTAATTGGCCATGCACTTGAGTGATCTAAATCGAGGGTGGACACTGAAATTCTCCATAAACTAAAAGCCAGACTCTTACCTGGCTCCCCATTTGGGGGGTGGGGGTGATTATAGCAAAGAGAAAATGAAATATTTTCAGACTACCCCTTATAACCATGTAGGCACATTTTCTTCACTGAGCTTGCAGGGAGGGAGTTGTTAGGGATTGTGGGTATAGATAGAGGGGAGAACCAATTCACAACTACATGAAAATGTACATGCAGAAATGGTAGCAAGGAAGAAGAACCAAATTTAAAGGGACGTAGGGAAGTGGGATGAAGCACCTTTTAATAGTCTGGCTAACGTGTTACTGAGAGCAGTGAGTGCCTGATAAGATTGATTAATTTGATATTACAAATCAGTAGTATTTGTATGTTGATCTGCATGGATGCTGATTTTTTTTTCTTTTATTAGAAAATTTATGTGAGAGAGGTGGTGGCAGAAAATTAATGTAGACAAAAGTTTTTAGTCATTTTCATGGTATCATAGGATTTAAAGTAACAATGACTGAAGTGCATGTTTGTGCCTTTGCTGTGGTTTCCCTTTATACATGTATGTCGCTGCCAATATGGTGGAACAGGTAGAGGAGAATGAAAATTAATTGTAAGGTCCCACAGCCTAGTTTCAATCATGGGTGCGTAAAGGCATGCTTACATAGAACCTTTTAAAAATTTAGAAGCTCCAAAATGAAATTTTCAGGCTAACTGATGTCAATAAATACGATACTGTTGATAACTATTTTTAATCGACATTTTTGTACGATATCATTTCCTGGATTTTCCGTAATGAAAAAGAGCTATTGAGTTAGGTTACTTACAGTTCCCCCAAGCTTCCTTATCAGCAAAAACTGCCTTAAGGCATATTAATAAGCAGGAAAGAGTTGCCCATGTCTGTAAGGCTGTGGTGTGCAGGTAACAAGCTGTAGGCCACAGTTGTTCAAAGGTCTGATAGTGTTATACACCAAATCAATGCAACCATCAAGTAGATTAGCCTGAATTGTATCCAGTTACTTTGAGTTTTTATTACTCCGTCAGTAACATCTGAATCGTCTGGCCATTAATGCCGTCCAGTGACATCACTACTCCGATGCAAAAAGTAAAACACGATTTTCAACTGGCAACCCAAGAAAAATCATTTTGAAAAGTCTGCATGATACAAAACAGCTGAGAGAAATGCTGTACTCTTTTCGATCGTAACTTATGTTTTAAACGTTCAAACTATCAACTGCATGCAGTGCTCTGAACAGGTTGTAATTCAAACTCTGTCGCAATCAAGAAATGAAATAAATACACACACGGGAACACTTAGTTCAAAAATGCATCAATTTCCTTTAATTGAAAAGAACTTTGGTCCTTAACGAAGAAAAAAGAAAACAAGGAAACAAGAAAGAAAAGCTAACAGAATCATTACACTTGATGGTGAATAGCAAGAAGGTTGAATGACAATATGACATATTCAGGGGTTTTATTAGAAGCCGGGACCCGGGTACCGGCACCCGTCTACTCTGAGCACAGTACCCGCCTTCGCCGAAATAGGTCTCAAGTAGACAAATACGAAATCAAAAGCCAGACTAACCGAAACTTCTTTTCACCGCTTTCCCGCCTTGCCAGGGGAGTCTAACCAGGAATTGCATCTCTGAATTACATTTCTTTTCTTCATGAAAACTAATATTTCAGTGTCCGGATTACCGAAGGATATCTCTACCAAAGGGATAAATTTCGAAGTTTGATCGCATTGCACGAAACGCATCGCCTGCGTTTTCAAAGTAGTTACCAGGACCTACCCTCTGTCATGCTGTTACATAACATTTGCACGTGACATTTCACGCTACCAAAAGCACTTGCTTAAAATGGCGAAGAATGCTAGTAAAAGACCTCACGTCCAAGGCGTCTTAGATAATTTCTTTCCAAAGAGGGCAAAAGGTGAGTCATTAATACATTACAAGTTATCTTTTCAACATAATGAACTTGCACTGGCGGATATAAATAAAGTGTGCGTTTTGCATGTCAAAAGAGTCATTGAACCGCAACGACCTTTGAATACAAGCAATCAACCGGCTCCTCTTTGGTTTTACTCTAAGAACTTCGAAACCTGCTGAATTGTATGGTTAGTGCAAATTCCTAACAGTTATAACAGGATGGTTAATTAAATTTCCCAGCAAACTTATCCGAAATAAAAACAAACATTGCGTGAGGTCCGAGCTGAGGCCGCGGATGTTGTCCCATGAGCATTAAGCTTACTTTTACGAGCGAGCCGATATCTATATTCATGGTAGAAAAGATTGCGTAAAATCTGGGAAGTCAAAAAGTACTTACAGTATGTATCGCGTAACTTGAAAAGAGATGTTTACAGTGGAAATCTTTTAAAACACTAAAAAAATGTCTACAATTATAGAAGCATAAAAGAAGTAACATTAAAAGGAATGTCAAGCTAAACTTCGTGTACACATACAATTTATAAGCTTAATTCTTCAGCAGCTCATAAAACAAACGACACAAAAAACTACTGCAAAAGGTAAATGGAAATCCGCCAAAAATGTAACTCAGCATAAGTGACAGGGTGAGGTTTATGCATTGCATATTGGACCTTTCTTTGGCAGATGATTCAACAATGCCTCTAGTACAAGCAGCAAGTGAAGGGGTAGAAACTCAGTCGTCTAATGAAGCACTCTCACATACCTCACGGCAAGTAGAAAAAACCCGAGGGCCAAGTGTATCTAAAGCAATAGCAGATGACATTATGTTATTGGAAATAGAGAAATGTGGACTTTCTAACCTGCACAACTACTACGATTGCAAACAGAAAAGCTGCAAAGATTTCTCAGAAGAAGAGGAGGCCAGGCAGAAGAAGCTGAAGAAGAGACGATTTCACCACAGCTGGGTCGAAGAAAGAGAACTAGCCTATGATAAGACCACAGGCATCTGGTGGCTTCTGTTCTCGGAAAACAAAGGCATGTTTTGTTTTCTTTGCTGTAAACATAAAACTTTGAACACCCAGAACAATGCTGCAGTATTCAGCACTACACCCAGCAAAAGATACAGGAAAGAGGCCATCAGAGAACATTCTTCAGCCAAAATGCATCAAGCTGCTGTGGAAGCTGAAATGAATCAAAGGGTGTCAATGTTTCATCAACAGTATGAAGAAAAGGAAGCAGTTCGCAACGATGTATTGTACAATGCTTTTGCAGCCTTGTATTGGTTAGCAAGGGAGGCAGTTGCTAATGTTAAGTTCTTTTCTTTGCTAAACCTGTTTCGTGCTGTTGGGCTAGACAAAATGCAGCATTTTAATCACAAATCTCCCGCTGCAGTGAGAGAAATGTTCCTGACAAGTGGAAATGTGGTCAAGAACATGATTATAAACGAAATAAAGAAAGCAGGGTCTTATGGCCTTCTAATTGATGAAGTAACAGACATCTCTGTTACTGAGCAATTAATCACGTTCGTGCAGTTTTGGAACAGCACTTCTGGTGGCACAGAGATTAAGTTTCTTAGTGCAAATGATCTCCTTGTTGAATCTGAGTCTGCAAATGCAGAAACCATAACGAGGACTCTTGTAACAGAGTTAAACCATTGTGACTTGTCAGTTGGAAAGCTCAATGGCCTTTGCACGGATGGAGCATCCGTGATGACTGGAAAAACCAGTGGGGTGGCCACCAGGCTGAAAGAGTTGAACAAACACCTCGTCAGTGTTCACTGCATCTGCCATAAACTGTCCCTTGCTTGCTGTGACACTAATGATGATATCGCATACATGCAAGAAGTTGAGAGATGGCTTTTTCAGATCTGGAAATTTTTTGAAAATTCCCCAAAACGACTTGCAGCATATCTGAAGACCCAACTTAACGTGAAAAAGCTGCAAGAGCCTTCAAAAGAGGCTAAAGATAAGTGCGTCCGTATACTTGCTAAGGCTACTCGCACGAGGTGGCTCTCTCTTGGCAAGGCTGTAGAGGGTGTACATAAGGATTACGTACCACTCATGCTTACACTAAAGCAACTTGACCAGAAAGATGCTCAGGCGTCAGGTCTTCTCGGAAAGATGCACAAAGTGAAATTCATTGGGGTGGTAACAGTCATGCATCACGTTCTTCCTGTTCTCAACAGACTCAGCTGTGCTTTCCAACAAGGAAAGGTTTCCTTCTCCCATATAAAGCCAGCAATTCAGAAGTGCACCGATGACCTTGACAAAATTGCCCAGATGGGAGTTCCAGTCACTGAGTTCCTTAGAGATCTTTCACCTGGAGGCAGATTGGAACAAGCTGATCTTACTGCGTCTGATAGAGATAAGCTGTTTCTCACCAATTTCCTGGTGAAATATGTCAATTCACTGAAAGAAAGCTTAAGTAGCAGATTTCCTGCCCTTCCCCTCCTGTCTGCTTTTAATATTTTTGACCCTGCACAAGTTCCAGAAAGGGGCCAGCCAGGATTCAGGGATTATGGCAGTGCAGCGGTGAAACTTCTGGCTGAGCAGTTCTTTGATGACGAAAGCGACAAAAAGCAGTTGATGGATGAGTGGCAGGTATTCAAGTACGACTTGGCAAAATGGAAGAACGAATTGCCTGAGGAAGTTAGAAAGCTCTCTGGTGGAAGCAAACCTACAGTCACTTCAACTGATTGGTGCCTCCAGAAGCTAATGTTCATGAAGGACCTGGTCCCATTTAATCTTCCACTTATTGCAAAGTTGGCAGAGGCAGTGATCTCTTCCAGTGTCGAATGCATGGCCGGAAAGGGGTGCCAGTTCTTTAAAACTGATGAAGACAAGGCTTCGAAGTAGAATGAAGAATGACATGCTCAACGCTCTGCTACACATTCTCATCAATGGTCCTAAAGTGGGAAGTAAGGAATTTGAAGGAGTGATTGATGCTTCTGTTAGAGCTTGGTTAGCTGCCAAACCACGCCGAAAGTGTCCTCCAATGTTTGTCAGCACACAACTGGTCGCCAATTCAAGTGGTATAAGTGAGAACGTTGTAACGGTAACCATGCAGGATGCTGGTGTGCAGACAAATGATGACAGCGTCATTCAGCCAGTTCAACGTACAATTGCAGATGAAGTAGATGAAACCTCAAAAGCATTGGAGCTACCAGCAGATGATGATGATGATTCAGATTACGGCTCTGACTTTGAATTTTCCCATGACATATAGTCAATAGTGTAGTCCTTTTAAGCTTCATACATTAGTTGCCCGTATTTAGGATTGACTTTAAGTTTTCTTCATGAATGAAAGCAGCAAACAGTACAGGAGGAGTTCATTCATGAAACTCTACGATCTATATAATGTTTGTTTCAGTTATTATAATTTAAATCAAAAAGGCAAGTGTGGCTCACTATCTAACAAACTAAGCAATATACCGGTAAGCCAGTAAGTTTGGTTCATTATTCATACTGTTATATTATGTATTTAGTAAATTCCCTGAGGCTGCAAAAAGTTACAAAATTAGTTACATTATTGGTTTTCATGAAGTCAATTTGTGCTTGTCAATTTAGTAAATTCTCTAAGGCTGTAAACAGTTACAACATTGCTAGTATAAAGTAAAAGCTCCGCAAATTATTCACAATTTTCGTTTGCAAAATGAGGGAATAGAATTATAAATTTCCAACTCAGAATGCTGGAAAATGCATTTCCGAGAGTCTAATTTTCAAAAATTTTCCGGGGGAGCATGCCCACGGACCCCCCTAGAGGCTCGGTCCTTCGGCCCTTCGGTATGTAGGGCTGCCCGCTTACTCTACCACGAGAACCCTCCTACTTCAAAAATTAATGAAAACCCTGATAGCATATTGGTCTCAGAAACTTCACATAAAGAAAATCACTGTGAAACCACAAAGCGGCACTAAATGAAAAACCTACAGACTCGATCCCCACAATGATCCTTCATTTGCAGTTCAATTTAGCAATTCAGTTTTGAAGACAAGGGCAATTTTGCGGTTTACAATAAAGATTATCGAGATGTTTCAACTCCATGCAAGCATGCCACCGATGCAATGTGCTGAATATCAAGCAAAACTCCTGCAAAAATTTCCCATAATTATACATAATTATGCGAATGTTTAGACAATCAACCAATCAAAATCACTACCCGGTTTTCGGGAAGTAGTGACATCACTGGATGGCATTAACGGCTAGTCGATTCAGGTGTTACTGAGAGGAGAAAACAACTCAAAGCAATCGCATGAGATTCAGGTTACCAGGAGATACGTTTTAAGGAAAGCAAAGGGTGTTCAAAGGGTGGATTCATACAATTATATACTATACAAGGTGTAACCACCTGAAGTACAAATACCTTTCTTTCCATGTGTGATATTGTTGCATTATTGTTTACTATACTATACAAGGTGTAACCACCTGAAGTACACACACCTCTCTTTCCATGTGTGATGTTCCATTATTGTTTACTGCAGGCAGCAGTTGTTCAAAAGGTGGATAACGCTATATCCATCCAGACAGAACATTATCCAGTGGATAGTGCAATTAGTTTTCCTAACAAATACTTATTCACTCAGTCCAGTGAATAACGTAATCCATCTTTTGAACAACCAGGAGTAGTTGTGCAGTACATGAGTTACAATGATGGTAGGCAAGTTTGCGTGTACATGTTGACAAATAATACTTATTAGGACGTACTAATAAATGAATTGATCTTTTACTAAAAGAATGCATCAGCTGGTTTAAATTGTTTTTTTAAATGAACATACTGAAGTGAACCAAGGTCAACTGAGCCCCTACAGGTCGCCCCTCCCAAAAGACTGACACCTGCAGGCCCCAGCTCCCTGAATTCCCTCCCACCCCCTCTCCATTATATACCATATTCTTTGGGAAATGAAAGAGAAATAAAGAAACAAATAAAAATTTTGGCTCTGAAAAAAGTTAATGAAAGAATCCACATACCAAGCGAGAAATGTTTGGTTATCCAAACTTATGGCATTAGACATTAGATGAAATAACTTTTCAATAGGGGCAACTCACAAGATAAACCCTCCCTTCAACAGCCGGTGAATCAGTTCAACCTGGAGGAAGTTGGGAAGCGAGTCAGTTGGAAAGAGACCAATGTGTTGTTGCATTTTGCAAACTCTATGTTTTTTGGTCGAAATGATCTGGCCCCCATTGAATGCACCTGAATAATTCTTTCTAAAATGTTAGCTCACTAGTGGAGGCCTTTAAAGCCGGAAGTGCATTGAGTCGATCGTCATGAACATTAACATTTACACTAATTCATCTCGGTTACTGCTGGTTAATGTTATATATATACAGTTACTAAAAAGAACAGTTCACACACATTTTAGGTGGAAATAATTTTTCTTGGACTTCTTTACAAGCATAGGCGTACGGGCAATTTTTTGCCAGGGGGGGCGTTAACCCATTTGCCCAAAAAATTCTCCCAACTTGCCCAAATTTTTACGAAACAGTAGACAAGAAACGAAGGCGATACGATGCAATAACGTAGGCCGTACGGGCATATAAAGGTCAATACCTCCCAATTTTGAGAATAACTACGTCGCCATAGACAAACATTTGGAAAAACTGCTACCATAGTTTTATTAGATGAAGATGAAAATTTATCATGAGCGGGGTTTAAATGACATCGGAATTGTCATAGCAACGAAATGACGCCATTGTCTATTTTACTTGCAGCAATATTTCTCGGCAATGGGAACTATTCCTACAAAATTGTTCACGGGAACTTTTTTCTCCAATAGGCCGTACGGGCATATAAAGGTCAATACCTCCCAATTTTGAGAATAACTACGTCGCCATAGACAAACATTTGGAAAAACTGCTACCATAGTTTTATTAGATGAAGATGAAAATTTATCATGAGCGGGGTTTTAATGACATCGGAAATGTCATAGCAACGAAATGACGCCATTGTCTATTTTACTTGCAGCAATATTTCTCGGCAATGGGAACTATTCCTACAAAATTGTTCACGGGAACTTTTTTCTCCAATAGTCGCCTCGATGTTCGTGAAGTTAAAACGGAATCTATAGGAGCGTTATTGGGATATTTTGGGATGAAGGTTTTATCATTATAAATATGGGGAAAAAAATCTTGATGTTTGGCTGTTATTTGTAGAAAACGAAGCTCTTTTGACATGCAATTGCACCTCATAGTAGCTTCAATCTTCAACGTGTGTAAAAGATATGATCATGGATATGGCTCCGGCCGATTGCTAGAGAGAAGGATTTCATTAGTATGTATCGAGGGGCTCTTGTTAGCGGTTTTATAAACATTTCGGTCTACTTTAATAAATTATTGCTTGATAGATTTTTTTAAAAAATTAATATTCTTCTCGTAATTCGAGCGGATTACTAGTCAGCCACTTCTTCATTTTCAGACCCACTGTTGCTAAGATGATTCTAGAAAGATATGCGGAAATTTATTCTAATCAATTCACGACTGGAAAGAGCCCATTCCAGTCAGTGCAGTGCAGTACAGTGCTCACCAATAAAAAACTATAAATATGTAAATCAACAAATGATACCCTTCCCTATAACCAGAAACTCATCACGCGCTAGGCAACCACTGTGAGTGTCTCGAGAGAATGTAACTGGATTATTACGCTGACTTCAGGATTTTTTCAGATTAAAATAGAAAATATTTGTCTCTTTAGAGTAATAAAAAAAACATGGAAACGTCTTTAAAAACTGGCTTTGCCCAAATTTTCTCTTGCTGCCCAAAAAATCTGAGTCGCCCAAAATTTGGGGGGGCTGCAGCCCCCCTTGCCCCCCCGGCCCGTACGCCTATGTTTACAAGTTAACGCAACATCAAATGAAAACAGAAGGCCAAGGGCCTGATCTCATAACCACAGATCAACAAAATTTCCTGCGGATTTATCAGTGAGAGGATACCTTAAGAAACAAAAGGCGATTCTTACCCTGCTACAGCTCCAAGATTAGCTGTTCGTATCTTTCTTTCGATGTTCTTCCAGTAATATCTCCTTTAATCTGACTCATACAATCATCACCGCCGGCGACACCGCCATCATCTTGCCTCACAAATCTTCTCTATGTATGCCACATGAAATGCCCCGACAGATGTCCTGGGGAGCCTGTAAGGCCTTTGGTCGAGCGGGGAACTGAGGAGAGGGAAAAGCAAAAAAAAAAGCTTTGTACAGGTCTTCGGAGCTTCACGTTCTGGAGAAGTCATGATAGTATCTGTACCTTTCGCATTCCAAGTTCACTCATTGCAGGAGCTTGTTAAATTAGAAACTGAACTAGCACGACGAACGGGGTGTCGCGCACAAGTTAAGCAGCTTGTAGCGGCCAACACAAGCGAAGCAATTTACGACAACGACCTTGAGTTCGCAAGCGACGACACACTATAAAGCGAGGAAATATTTTACGGACAGGAGTCTTGAATCGTTTATTCAACGTGATCATAGGATCCAAGTCCTTATCGTAAACTGAAACATGAAATACAAAAAAAGGCTAAGCTAATTTCTAACATACAACTACATTCCAATCATTCCATAGCAAAGTTGAAAGTTACACTAAGTCTAAGTCGAAGAAGGTAAACGAATCAAGACTTAAGAAAATAATCGAAAACGAATTATCAAGCAGGGACCGCGGAGACCATTTTAAAGTGGTAGGGCTAAAAAATCTTGCCAATACAAAGAAACATTAAGTTCAGTGTTACGCCATTTATCTTACATTTGCGTAGACTACGAGCAGTCTCTCTTTTCTCCTGGTCCGTCGATCAAAACTCCCGAGACACGCTCACAGGCGCGTGCACTCCACTTACCGCCTTGAAATCTGAAGAAAAAGAGAGGCTGCTCGCAGTCTAGCATTTGCGCGCCATCTTATTTATAGCCTCAACAAATATAACATAAACGTCGTCACGTGTTATAGTATCCAGTATAGCCAATATGTTGAATAAAACTTCCTAAAATTGCTACTTTGAAGTTGTCGGCAGTGCCGAAATTTCTCTTGCGGTCCTCATTGCTGGAAACAAACTCCTGTGTGACGTCAACCATAGAGACGCTGTCTGTTCTCAACGTTAACCATTCAACGTTACTACTAGGTTGTTTAAACATCTCATCACCCATCCTGGATCGACGCCACGTCTTTAGAAGCCGTACGTACGGATGAGAACGAACCCTCGCCAGCAGCGCTAGTAATAGGATTTACAGCAAGCAGCTTACAGATAGTTTGGACTTCCTGAATTAGCCTGTTTTCTGGTTCTGGAAACTTTAACACCGCCAACAGGATTTCGTCAAAGCATGATATCTTGTACTTCCTCCATAGCGCTTAGTTGCGTAGGTAGCGCCCCTGTATCGCAACATCTTCCCTATAATATACTTCAAGAAACTGAACTCCGCCTCATAGTCGTCACCATTAGCTATAGCAGCTTTAAGCAAGAGGGTCTCCATCTGGGCTTAAAAGCTGAAGCTTTCCTGATTAACGCGCTGATAGATAGCCCTGACGATAAGATCAATAGCCTCATAATAGGCTCGTACAAAGTGATCTCTAGCAGTTTGTGGATAACTTGGTGTACCAGCACCAACCTCCAGTCTGGCCGAAATGTTGCTGCTTGGTTCGCCAAGCAAGCTTTCACTCTTGCGGGCAACGTTAGCATAGAAATAGTCGAAGCTTTGATCAATGCGAATTTTTGTGAGCGTCCCCTTTGTTAGATTTGCCAGGCGTTGTCCACTGACAGCAGCCATCTTAGTACCCTGAAGATCCTTAGATAGATTATCGGTGCGGTAAAAAAGGTGCTCTCCAAGATGTAGACTATGAGCAGTCTCTCTTTTTTCTGTAGTCCGTCGAGCAAAACGCGAGATACGCAAATGGACTGCCGCTCGCGCGCGCGTGCACTCCCCTTACTAAACCGGAAGAAAAAGAGAGACTGCTCGCAGTCTATCCAAGATGCAAAGCAGAGAAAAAGTCAAATCATTCCATTTGGGCCTTACATCTTATTATCCTTGCACGCACATCGGGTTGTAATCGCTCGGACAAGCAAAGATGGCCACTCTTCCATAGGGCAAAGTCCAATTGTTGGTTTTCACATAACGTCACTAAAATTCAAACCAAAATACTACCGATCCTACCGAGATTTTACTTTCACGATGTATTAGAGCAGCTAAAAACTAATTTTCATACAAATTTTTGCTTCAAAAGGGTTCTTGGTTTTGTGATAGAGTACGCTTGAATTTCTAAGATTTTGCGTGACGCGGCATCTACATGACGGCCAAGAGAGCTGTCATGTCGGTTAAAAAAACGACTTATTTCAGGAAATTTTGCTATCTAAACAGTTCATGTATTAGAGAAAGTATTACTTTAATGTTTATGAGTTTCACGAAGAATAAATTCACGCTCTTGTAGCAGAACTCGCTAACAGATGTTTCTGTTGGATTCCGTCCGCTATGTTGGAGCTCATGCAGGTGAGCACCAGCATGGCGTCTCCATACAAATCTCTATAAGTTTGGGTAAAACATTTCTTCGGATATCTCGTATACGAAATATTCATCTGACCTGAATCTTGGCCAGGGTCTTTGTATATGCGAGGTGACCTCCTTTCATTTCCCAGATTCCGGACTTTATCTATTGGACGGTTTTGATTATTATTTTGATCTATTTTGAATGGGGTGACACTGCAAACCGGCAATAATTCCACAGAAATTTTTTCCATATCAACTGGAGTCCTATGAAAAAAATCCCAGCAATAAAAGTGGTAGGGCTATAGCCCTACCAGCCCTTCCCCCTCCGCGGTCCCTGTCAAGTACAACATTCGAGATTACAAAAAGATACATCTAAAAACATAGCGAAAACAGTTCGATGAACTATAAAGATCCGTAGAATCATAAGGTCGAAATACAAACAAAAACTGAAACTATATAAAAACAAAAGAGACAAACTACTGAAAAGATTCTGAAAAACAAACTCTAAAACGTACTAATAACCAAGTGAAAGGTGAGTTACATTTTAAGTAACATCAACCAACCTATGCCACGTGGTAACATGGTTGAAGAAAACATGCGATGAAAAAACTGGTGTAAGCTAAAGGAGTCTTATCGAAAAGGTTAGGTATAAAAGGAAACTTAAACACTTACATAACAGTCCCGCTTGTAAGAGCTTGACCAAACAACTTCCAAGATAAACTGGACAAACTGTACTAACGACGAACACGACTTATCGTTTGCCCAAACAAAGCCAACTAACAAAAATGCGATTTGAGCGGAACTTAAGTAATCGCGTCCCTAATGGACAAGGAATAACGTCATCTTGCGGTTTAACGTAATACAATACAAATTAAATCAATAACGAATCAATATTCGGGAATAACGCGTGGTAGCCGTTACACAGCTTATTAATCGGAAAAGCTTTCTCCTTGCTCAAGTGGAAATCTTAAGGATTCAAATGCTTGCGCTAGTACAACGCTGTCTTGACCACTGTCAACCAGCAAGGTCTGATTTCTTGAAACGCCAAAGACCGGCACCGTATTAATTCTCTTACCAGAGATCAACGACTCTTCGCAAAATCGACAAGGAGCCTCGCGCTCCATTTCACTCTGTTTTCAGATGGAGTAGCCTGAGTATCAGGCGTTTCTGGGGGAAAAGGGGAAAGATCAGGCGGAAGCCAAAAAAATCTCCTCTCCCCTAGCCTCTTAGGAAGGCCTGATACTCAGGCTACAGATGGAGCAAAACACCGCTCATTTCCCGTTAATTTTCCCAGGAGTTACTCACGCGCTAAATTGACTGACAGATAACGACCTTACTGACAGATGATCGGCAGGATAATTACGAGAGGGGGGAATAGCTGCCTCAACTGTTTGTCTACAGGCTCTCTCCTCCCTTTCCCTTCCCTTTCCTGGGGAGCAGATACGTTTTTAAAACACCCACCCTTACAAATTCTGTCTGAAAAATTCACTGATAGTTCAATAAATCCGTCTTCAGGGCTCCTGGTCTAAAAAGGCTTCAGCGATTGAAAATATCCCCATTTGTGTTTGATATCACCAACATTTGTATTCTTAAGATTCGTCTTTCCTGCTTGCTGATTCAACCATAAAAAAGTATACTGAGTTGTGTTCTGTAAACTTGATGCAATGAGGTGCGCGTGCGTTTAATAGTCACACAAAACGCTTAAAAAAATTGTTCTACAATTCAAAACTCGTCACACTTGCAAAATTCTCCTCTTTCATTTCTTGGGAAGGAATGTAACCCTGTTCAAGTTCCGTTGCATCCTGGCGTGTCTCGGGATCCTCATTATATCCTAAAATTTCTACAAGAATTGAAAAAAATAATCTTCCTTTATGATGAGTCTAGCCTGCCGGGCTAGCCTGATGATAATAGCCTCATATTTGTCGCAATGGAGTGTTTGTAGACTGTTTCCCTTTTTCTTCTGTGTATTTAGAGAGTTTCTAAGCTTCACGTATACGGCAATTGTCAGATTCAGGTTAAACAATTGTTATGGATAAAACATTGCGTGAAACTACTCTGATTTATGTGTTGAAATAATGAACAGTAAACGACAAGTGTACTGCAAAGGGGAAACTTGGTCACGTGGTACAAATTTGCGTTTGACGTTATACGTCACGTGATGCTTAACCTCTCTGACAGACCTTTTTAGCTTGTATGTTTTGTTTTCCCAATACAGGTCATGTGATAACACTCTAGACAACCGTTTCTTTCAAATTTAGTCTTGTTCACGTGCATATGTACGTACAAAAAGACAAAGTGTCAAGTTCCCCTGGGACCTCTATTGGGAAAACAAAACATACAAGCTAAAGAGCTCTATACCTCGCAATCCAGTGCAACATGAAAACCCGGGGGTACTCAACAAATGTTCATTCGAGGAGGCTCCTCTCCGAGGACCAACCCCTTACCCTTTATATACCATTTTTCACGAAAAAGGTAGGCCATCATAGGGAGTACCCCTCCCCCCCCCCCAGTACCCCTACCTCCCCCCCCCCGCCAGCCACGAAAAGTCGCATATATCAAGAATAATAATTCATCTTTTTAAAATCATTATTCTTAGTCCCCATGGAG